CAAACAAGAATGAAAACAAACAAATAGCCATCACAGCAATAATGAAAATTAAGTAGTAAGAAATGTTGGGGCGTTTAATACAAAATCTTAAAAATATGTAATTAAAAGAGTTTCCAAAGGTCTATAAACCATGTTTCTTTAGTTTATAAACTTACAAATAAGGACTATATAAGTTCATTTTCTCTCTCCTTCCCCCACAGACTATTTTCCAAATGAAACCTTATAATTGCCTATAAATTCGCATTTATCAATTAGTAGTTGCATCGTAGATCCTCTTTTTTCCTACTCCGAAAGAATAATTTCATACACTGGAAATATACGAATTTAGAGAAAATCTCTGTATCTTCTTTGTGGATATGGGGTGGTTTCTATTGCCATATTTTTTTATGCTGGTTCTTCATTTTCCTTCCTACACTTGCTCTTTGTGCAACAATCATGACTACTCTGCCTTGCTACAGTTCAAAAACTCATTTGGTCTTAATGTTACACAATATTATCCATCATGGAAGAATGGTACAGATTGTTGCGAGTGGGATGGCGTGACGTGCAACACCATGTCAGGGCACGTAATTGGTCTCGACCTTAGCTGCTCTAATCTTCGTGGTCAACTCCATCCCACAGCACCATCTTTGGGCTAACACACCTCCAAAAACTCAATCTTGCTTATAATGATTTCTCTGGGTCTTCAATATATTCTAGATTTGGTGATCTTGTGAATCTCAAGCATCTAAATTTATCTCACTCTTCTATCGGTGGTGATATTCCCCCCACAATCTCTCGCTTGTCAAAATTGATGTCACTTGATCTCAGTACCGACTTTGATCCCAGGCCCAGCCACTTGAGAATGAGACTTGATCCATCCACATGGAAAAGACTCATTCTTAATGCAACTAATTTGAGGAAGGTTGCTCTAAATGGCGTGGACATGTCTTCTATCAGAGGGAGCTCTTTGTCATTGCTAATGAATTTGTCATCCTCTTTGGTCTCTCTTAATCTTGGGAATACTGGATTGCAAGGGAACATGACAAGTGATATCTTCTCTTTACCCAATCTTCAAGAACTAAATTTTGTTTATAATCATAACCTCAGAGGTGAACTGCCAAAGACAAACTGGAGTTCTCCTCTAACGTCCTTGTATCTCTCTTCAACAGCTTTCTCAGGAGAAATTCCAAATTCCATTAGCCATTTGAAGTCTCTTAACCTACTTGGTCTTTCATTTTGCAATTTTGACGGACTGCTTCAGTCATCACTGTTTCATCTGCCTCAACTTTCATATTTATCTTTATCGTATAATAAGTTTGTTGGCCCGATTCCAAGTAATATCACTAAACTTTCAAAATTAAACGATCTAGATTTGTCATATAACATGTTAAATGGAACAATCCCAGATTGGTGTTATTCTTTGCCTTCATTGACAGGGTTGGATCTAAGGGGCAATCAGCTCATGGGGTCAATAGGTGAATTCTCAACTTATTCTTTTGAATATTTGCTTCTCTCTAATAACAAACTACAAGGTAATTTTCCAAATTCAATCTTTCAATTCGAAAATCTGACTAGCTTAAGTTTGTCAACAACTGAAATGAGGGGTCTTGTGGACTTCCACCAATTTTCAAAGCTTAAAAATCTATTTGTGCTCGATCTTTCTGGAAACAGTTTTCTAACTATCCACGTTGACAGTAGTGTCGAATACATCTCACCCCACATTACAACCTTAGATTTATCTGGTTGTAACATTAATATTTTTCCTAAATTCTTAGCACGAATTCAAAATCTAGAATATTTATATCTTTCTAACAACAAAATTAGTGGAAAAATTCCCCAATGGTTTTATGAAAAGCTATTCCTCTCGTGGAAGAACATTCAGGTTATTGATCTCAGTTTCAACAACTTACAAGGAGATCTTCCAATTCTACCCAGTGGCATTTACGCCTTTTCAGTCTCAAATAACAGCTTCACCGGAGACATTTCTTCAAGAATTTGCAATGCAAGTTCCCTCTATATACTCAATTTGGCTCACAACAACTTGACAGGCACGATTCCTCAATGCCTGGGAACGTTTCCTTCTCTTTCAGTGTTGGATTTGCAAATGAACAAGCTTCATGGAAACATGCCCAGAAACTTTTCTGAGGGAAATGCCCTTGAGAGTATAATGTTGAATGGAAACCAGCTGGAGGGACAATTACCAGAGTCTTTGGCACATTGTACAGAACTCCAAGTTTTGGATCTTGCAGACAATAACATGGACGATACATTTCCTCATTGGCTAGAAAAACTGCAAGAGTTACAGGTACTCAGTTTACGATCAAATAAATTTCATGGAGTCATCACTTGTTCCGGCACCAAACATCCGTTTCCCAGCTTGAAAATTTTTGATGTCTCCAACAATAATTTTAGTGGCTCCTTGCCAGCATCATGCATCAAAAACTTTCAAGGAATAATGAATGCAAGTGGCGACCAAACCGGTTTGAAATATATGACTGATAAGTTTTACTTTTATAATGATTCTCTTTGGGTCACAATGAAAGGTCACAGTATAGGCATCTCGAGAGGATATTAACTACTTTCACAACTATTGATTTATCAGAAAACATGTTTGAAGGAGAAATTCCAAAAGTCGTTGGAGATTTAATATCTCTCAAAGGACATAATCTTTCGCACAACAGAATCACTGGTACCGTTCCACAATCCTTGGGTAATTTAAGAAATTTGGAATGGTTGGACCTCTCATGGAACCGGTTAACAGGAGAGATTCCTATGGCTTTGACAAATTTGAATTTTCTCTCATTTTTGAACCTTTCACAGAACCAGTTTGAGGGAATCATACCTACGGGAAAACAGTTTGATACATTTGGAAATGATTCCTATGGAGGAAATCCAATGCTATGTGGAATCCCTTTGTCCAGATCCTGCAGTAAGGATGAAAATTTGACACCAAATTCAAATTATCACCCTGAAGCATCAGGATTTGGCTGGAAAGCTGTGGCAGTGGGATATGCATTTGGGGTGTTATTTGGAATGCTTTTGGGATATATTCTATTCTTGACTGGAAAACCCCTATGGTTTGCAAGATTTGTTGAGGGTATGCTTAATCAAAGAGTGATTAAGACAAACAACAGAGCCCACGCAAATTGTGGATGAATGGATTAGTTTAGTATGCTTTTTTTATGTGTTTTTGCGTGTTTTTATGTAATTTTAACTTCTTTGTTCGAAGAGTCTGATTTGAGCTCTATTACTAAGAGATCAATTTCAAGTTGTCATATAATAATAAAAATTTGTGATCAATATATTTTTTTTTTTCATTTCAAGTAATTAATTTGCCATACATTCAGTGAGTAACAACCTGCATAAGCATCAAGAAAATTGAATGTTGTATCCATGTTTCCTAGGTAGCAAGCTTCTTGTTTGCCTCTTAGGTCGAATTACATGCCCGTTTAGCGGTGATATTATGTATGGTTAGATATTTCTATTGACGTTTAGTGGTCTAGCATTGCCCCTTCTTATGTTTTTGGGTGCACAGTGATGTTGAATTGAATAACATGTAAACAAACCAGATTGTTTCATTCTAATATGTTTGTGGCCCTTGCCTCTTTACAAAATCTTGCGATATTTTATCTTGTTAATAAGGGTGATCGACAATGAATATATGAAATTGTCATTGATCCTGTCATTCAACATGCTCGAAACAGTGATTCTAGTTCTATTTCTATTTCTTTCTGGTAAATGTTTGAAAGCCTTTTAGGTTAATTTTACATTACAGTCATGAGCAACTAAATTATATATTGGACTCACTTCACTTGTGTCTCATTTATCTAGGATTGGTTAATACAATGAATTTGAGAAAATGCTAATTGATGGAAGTGACTTACAAAAGAAAAAGCTATTCTGCAATGTCCTCTTCCTTGATTTGAATTGAAGCTTAGTAATGTTCAAAACACGTGACCACTGACCAATCAATTTGTCTTGAGAAATTTATCAAGAATATTCATACCAGTTTACTGATCCAGCAAATAGTTTACTTGTCAGATCCGTGAAAGTGATTCAACTTTAGTACTGAATACTAACACTGTTTAAAAGGTCCAAGTCTTCCCTTCTGGCTCTGGATACTATTAATGTTCTATTTTCTTCAATTTTACCTAACTATTTTGTTGCAACGCACTAAAGTCTCCAATTGGAGTACATCCAAGTCTCACAAGATAAGAGCAATTTACTCTTCTGTATTTCTAGCTGCCCTCTTTTTTGTGGATGCTAATGAAAGAAAATTCTTGTCAGATCAAGAAAGCAGCAACTAGCTGGAAAGTTGTCTAACTTGAAGGTTACATACGGTTGAAGTCCAAGTCTCCCCCATTGGACTTGATATCATACCTAATCCAAGTCTTAACATTACTAAAATGCTTTATTATTTTTAGCCCTCATTTTTAAGTCATATCCTAAGTTACTCATGACTCAATTCATAAACAACTCAGTTAACTCACGAGCTGATGAGTGATGATATTTGAGTTTGAGCTAAAATGTGGGCTTTTTTATTAATATTTTTGATTAAACACTAGTAATAATAATGTTTATTTTTTGGAAATGGGATCGAATTATACTTCATGTTACCTGACTAGATATATTGTTTTAATATTTTATTTTTAACTAGTTATAGTAAGACTTATTGACCCAGTCAACAATACTATGCTTTTATAACATGATAATATATCTTTATTCATATTATTCATTTTAAATATATTTTAACTGTAGTCCCATACTTCTTAAATTGTAAAATATAATTGTATGTGATATATATATATATATATATATATATATATATGTCACTAGTTAATTGAGTATTTCGAATTGAGTAAAAATTAAGTTAAAGCTCATTGAACCACCCTATTTCAAACCTTTTAAAGATAGATTGCTTATAAATTAATCAATTAGTTGTATTTGTACCTTAAATCCTCTAGCTTAAAGGAAGCGTGTCATCAGGAAAGTAAGAACAATCTCAAGATTTCTTCCGCATGGGGTGGTTTCTATTGCCATATTTTATGTTCCATTTGTTGATTCTTTATTTTCCTTCTTACACTTACTCGTTGTGCAACCATCATGACAACTTTGCCTTGCTCCAAATTAAAAACTCATTTGCTGTGGACCTTTCACTTGAGCAGTGGTTTCCTTGTGCCTCATTTTCTTCCAAAACAGAATCATGGAAAAACGACACTGATTGTTGTGAGTGGAATGGAGTCACATGCGACCCCATGTCAGGGCACGTGATTGGTCTCGACCTTAGCTGCGGCAATCTGCATGGTAAAGTTCATCCTAATAGCACTCTCTTCCAGCTTACACACCTCCAAAAACTCAACCTTGCTTTTAATGAATTTTATGGACCTTTGAGACATTCTGCATTTGGTGATCTTGTAAATCTCACACATCTAAATTTATCACAATCTTACATCGGTGGTGTTGTTCCCTCGACAATTTCTTACTTGTCAAAATTAGTATCACTTGATCTCAGTAGGAGTTGGACAATGATGAGATTTGATCCATCCACATGGGACAAACTCATTCTTAATGCAACTAATTTAAGGGAGCTGGTTTTAGACACAGTGGACTTGTCCTCAATTGGAGAGAGGTCTTTGTCATTGCTAACGAATTTGTCATCCTCTTTGGTCACTCTCAGTCTTGAATTCACTGAATTGCAAGGGAATTTTCGTAGTGACATCCTCAGTTTCCCCAACCTTAAGGAACTAAGACTGTCATCTAATGAAAACCTCACAGGTGAACTTCCAAAGTCCAACTGGACAACGCCTCTAAGGCACTTGGATCTCTCTGGCACAGCTTTCTCAGGAAAATTTCCTGATTGCATAGGCCATTTGAACTCTCTTTACCATCTAAGTCTTGAAGGGTGCAAATTTGATGGATCGATTCCTCTATCTTTCTGGAACCTCACTCAACTAACATTTTTGGACCTCGCAAACAACAACCTTAATGGTGAGATCCCATCTTTACTTTCAAACCTTAAACATCTCACCACCTTTTATCTTTCATCCAATTATGTTAGTGGTCCAATCCCGGATGTATTTAGCAAGTTTGAAAAATTAGAACTTTTGGCTCTTTTTGATAACAAATTAAGTGGCCTAATTCCATCATCATTGTTTCATCTACCTCAACTTTCTGTTTTAGATTTATCAGGTAATGAGATAGTAGGCCCGATTCCAAGTAAAATTACTAATCCTTCAAAACTAAGAGATCTACGTTTGTCTTCTAACATGTTGAGTGGAACAATCCCTCAATGGTGTTATTCGTTGCCTTCATTGTCAAACTTGTTCCTTCAGCACAACCAACTCACAGGGTCAATCAGTGAATTTTCATCTTATTCTTTGGAATATTTGTATCTCTTTAATAACAAACTGCAAGGAAATTTTCCAAATTCAATATTTGATCTCAAAAATCTATCCTACTTACGTTTGTCATCAAATAACTTGAGTGGTCAGGTGGACTTCCACCAATTTTCAAAGCTTAAAAATCTAAACTATCTCGATCTTTCAAGAAACACTTTTCTCAATATCACCATCGATAACAGTGTTGACTACACCATACCCAAACTTGAAGGATTATATGATTTATATCTATCTTCCTGCAATATTAATAGTTTTCCTAAATTCCTAGCACGACTTCCAAATCTGCAAACAATAGATCTTTCTCATAACAAAATTCATGGAAATATTCCCAAATGGTTTCACGAGAAGCTCTTACATTTTTGGAAGAACATACTACACATTGATCTCAGTTTCAACCATATGCAAGGAGATCTTCCAGTTCCACCATACGGCATTGACATCTTTCTAGCCTCAAATAACAACTTCACTGGAGACATTTCCTCAACAATGTGCAATGCCAGTACCCTCTATGTACTCAACTTGGCTCACAACAGCTTAACAGGGAAGATTCCACAATGCCTGGGAACATTTCCTTCTCTTTCGGTGTTAGATTTGCAAATGAACAACCTTTACGGAAACATACCTCAGAACTTTTCTGAGGGAAATGGATTGGAGACTATAAAGTTGAATGGCAACAGATTGGAGGGATCACTGCCACTGTCTTTAGCTCACTGCACAAGACTTGAAGTTTTGGACCTTGCAGACAATAACATAGAGGATAAATTTCCCAGGTGGCTAGAAAGTCTACAAGAGTTACAGGTACTAAGTTTACGATCAAATAAACTTCATGGTGTCATTACTTGTGGCAGCACAAAGCATCCATTTCCTAAGTTGAGAATTTTTGACGTCTCCGGTAACAAATTTAGTGGCCCCTTTCCAGTGTCATACATCAAGAACTTTCAAGGAATGATGAACGTGGATGATGGCCAAACTGTTTTGAAATATATGCGTAACAGCAGTTTATATACTGATTCTGTTGTGGTCATAATGAAAGGTCAATATATGGAGCTTGTGAGGATATTAACTACTTTCACAACTATTGATTTATCAAATAACATGTTTGCAGGAGAAATTCCTAATGTCATTGGCGAACTGCATTCTCTCAAAGGGCTTAACCTTTCACACAATGCAATCACTGGTTCCATTCCACAATCCTTGGGTAAATTAAGAAATTTGGAATGGATGGACCTCTCATGGAACCGGTTAGCAGGAGAGATTCCGGTGGCTTTAACAAATTTGAATTTTCTCTCATTCTTGAACCTTTCACAAAACCAGTTTGAGGGAATCATACCTACAGGTAGACAGTTTGATACGTTTGGAAATGATTCCTATGAAGGAAATCAAATGCTGTGTGGAATTCCTTTGTCAAGATCCTGCAATAAGGACGAAAATTTGCCACCAAGTTCAACTTCTCACCATGAAGAATCAGGATTTGGCTGGAAAGCTGTGGCAGTTGGATATGCATTTGGGGTGGTACTTGGAATTCTCTTGGGATGTAATGTATTCTTGACTGGGAAACCACAATGCCTTGCGAGATTTGCTGAAGGTGTGACTAATCGAAGAGTGCAAAGGAAAAACAACAACAGAGCCCGTGCAAATCGTAGAGGAATAAGTTAGTTCAATATGGTTCCTTTTTAACTGTATTTATGTATCAGTGTATGTGTGTGATTTTTCTGTAATTTTAACTTCTGTGTTTGGGAATGAAATATCATCTCTCAATAGGAGCAATATCAACAGAGTACATATAATTAGTCATCAATTGCTTTCGTTTTAAGTTAAAGTTATGTGCTGTAAATTGTCACTGCAAAGGCATCAAGGAAAATTCACGCATTCAACCTTTAGTCATCACAAAATCATCATTTTATTAGGAATGCTACTGAGAAAAGAAGCAGGGGACCAATCATTTAGCTGAATATCCTCAACTGACAGTTAAATTTTGGTGCTAACAGTATTAAGTGATTTTCTTCAAGTTGTCGTGCAAATAATATAAATTTGTGATCAATTGCTTTTGTTTTCATTTCAAGTAATTAACTCGCCTTAAAATGTCTGAGTAATAAGCGCATAGGCGTCAAGGGAAATTCCCGGATTTCATCCTTTAATAATCACAAAATCAACATTTTATTCCGAACATATATGTACAGTCTCTGGAGTAAGGTTTACAAAATTGAATGTACAACTGTGTTATTGTATTTTGGATTTGCCAAACGTAGCTGACCTAAATTTGAAAGAAAAGTTGGCATAGGTTAGGTTCTTTTTAACTTCTAACCAACTTTTTACACAGAAAAAAACTGCTGATAGTTCACACATCAGACTACACTTTTATTTATTATTGGTATATACATAACACTATATTTGTAGTCTTCTTTCAATTGACACTCTTAATTACAGTGATGAAAAAAGCTCGATTATATTTTGGGTTCACATGTGACTCGTGCTTCTAGGATTTAATAAGAGGTCAGTATGAAACAGTAAAGGCACAAATAGAGGATCATGGGGTGTAGTGAATTTTAAAAAAATGTTAATAATGGAAATGAATTTCAAAAGTAAAAGCTATTCTGCATTTCCCTTTTCTTTGTTTTTAATTGAATTTGAAACTTGCTAATGTTCAAAATATGTGACCCATCTATTTGTCTTTGGAACTCTGGCCTTCATGCTTGATTCCCGGCAACATATGAAATGGAACGCATATAATGAAGACAGATTTACTGTTTGCTACATGGCAATATTCATAGTTGTTTGCTAATTAATAATAGTGCAACAAACATATATAATAATATATTGAGGAAACATGGCTCCAATTCAACAAACATATATAATAATATATATAGTTTTTCACGATCAAGGAAACTTGTCAGCTGCTGAATGCTCACACCGACGGCTATACTTCTATTTTTTTGGTACATATCTCACTATACTTTATATGTACATATCACACTTGTTGACGAGGAATCTCCTTCAAACATTAAAGTTATTGTGGAAAAAAAAAAGTAGTGATTTATTATATTGACTAATTTATAAGATAAAAAGTTTGACCAAATAAGAGTAGTGAATTAAACAAAAATATCTCAAAATGGATTAAATCAAGTTAAAATCTTGTTTCATAAATCTTTAAATAAAATAAAAATCATTTTGATTTTTTCATTTAATTAATGTAAAATTAGTTCTAATTAAAACTTTGAATTAGAAATTCTAAAAAGGGGAAGAGAAGTGACAATCTTGTCCCTAAACAAAATTTCCAAAACAATGTTTTCTTTAGGGTAAAAATAATTTCTTTTGAAAAAAATTTACTCTAGCACCACTATATATTGCAGTTATGACAAGTTTTGCTGCTCATATTAATTTTTCTCTGTAGCTCGAACATAATTATCTTTAGTAAAAGATGATGTGGTTTCCACTAAAAAAACATATTGCAGCTGTTACGACCGCTACTTGAAAACACTCCGCTGTAACAGGTTTGGTAGCAGACTGTCGCCACTCTATTTTGCTACACCGCTATAGCTCAGTATTGATATTTATGCTTGAGACAACACAATAAGAACACTCCTGCAATGACCCTAGTGGTAGACTGGCATTGAACAATAGATGAAAAGTAGTTGATAATTAAAGAGTGACTAATTCATTAGATGGTGCTTATCGTGGTGGGAACTCATTGATTATTTTATGCAGCAAAGATATCTAATAAGGAAACTTATTTTTGCCTCCAGCTCAACATAGAACAACACAACTTGTTTTTTAAGATCCAAGGAAACTTAGCTGCTGATAATGACAGGCCACAAATCAGAATAAATTAGTACTTTTTTTTTTGGTACATACATCAAACCATATACTTAATTATCTTTACCCTCCTCTTAATTGGTGTTACTAGTTACAGTCATGAACAAAAAATTTTCATTGGACTCACCCGTGACTCATCTATCTATTTTAATTAGTGGTTAGTGAGAAAGAGTGAGGGCACAAATGATCGATGGGGTATAAAAAATTTGAAAGAAAAAAATTCTATTGATGGAAGTGACTTGCATAAGTAAAATCATTTCTGCACTTCCCTCTTACTTGATTTCACTTTAAACATAGTAATATCATTTTGCCACATGTTATATGGTGGGATCTTATAACGAATGACAGATTTTATATTTATCGCATGAGAAGGTTCATAGGAGTTTACTTATATCAGTAATATAGGAATTAATATAAAAGAGCTTTGCTTGTTGGTTAGAAAATTTTTGAACCAAACAGTGATGAAACATACGACTTCGTTTTAATTGGTAATACTCCAGTTAAGTGTTTGGGGTAAGGAAAATTTTCTAAGTTAAAAATCACGTTGAAGAAAGCTACATTTCAACGAAATGTTGAGAATCTAGAAGGAGCCTAAAAACAGGTCTAAACTTGAGAAGTATTGAAAAGTTATCTAAGACTTTTTTGTTTCATATCAAAAGGACATATTTCAAGCTATTTTAGAGGTTTTTGTCACCTCGTTGATTTTTCTTTAAAAAACTGCTTAAAAAATAGGACTAACAAGAAAATATTCTAAGTCCACAAAACTGAAAGCTTTTTTGAGGGTTTTTGAAGAGTTTCTAAGTCACTGACACCAAAAACTACTCGAAAAACAGGACTGACAAGAAAATATTTTAAGTCCACAAAACTGATGGCTTTTTTGAGGAGTTTTCAAGTCCCTGACACCCAAAATTGCTCGAAAAACAGGAATAGGTCAGAAAATATTCTAAGTCCACAAAATTGAAAGCCTTTTCGAAGAGTTTAGACGAGTTTCCAAGTCCCTTATACCCAAAACTGCTCGAAAAATAGGAAATGGTCAGAAAATATTCTAAGTTCACAAGACCAAGACAAGCTCTCAAAACTCCAGAATTGCTCAAAAAAATAAGTCAAGGAGAAATTATTCTAAGGCCATAACACTAAATGAGCCTCTTAGATTTCTCTCAGAAACACTCGAAAGATAGAAAAACAAAAGTCTTGACAGGTCAAGTCACTACAAAATCCAAAAGCGGTTACTAGCAGCCATCAACATTCAACACTACGCAAAGAAGATCGTGGGAGATAGCGGTTATGAAAGAAGCCCCAACCAATACCACAATCACAAGCAATCGTGGATAATGGGCATCAACAGTTGAAGGTAGTTACTAAGAAGTGCCCGCAAAAGGAGGAGAACAGTGGTAGTCTTCCTGCCTATAAATACTCCAAAGCACTATTTTACAGAGGACGACTTTTTGCACCTTGACACCGCACCTAAAATTCTCTGCACGCTGAAACTCTGCACCGCGCCAGACACCAGCTACAAGGAGACTCACGATGGCCATTGTTCGCTATTGTGAGGAGTCATACGTTTACATTCACGCACCTTTACCTTCCTGCACATTTATCTTTCTGCAGTCTATTTCTAGCTTTTTTGTTGGTTTCTGTTTCTTTTTCTGCAATTTGTTTCCTATTTAGCAGATTTTGTAAAGAACCTCTACGTTGTGATTCAGTTTTACGCGTTTCATATTCGCTATTCTTGTTAAATTGTTTAATATGCGATGTTCATTTTATTGTTACGTTAACAACACACTTAAAAGAACTTAAAGAGGACTTAATCCAGTTTTTAAATTGATCTTTAGATTATTTATTGTCATTTTTTACCGTAAACATTAAGAAAATGAAAAACAAAGTGACTATTTGACGGGAATCACGGTGGGTCGTATGCAGTTCTGTAAAACTTGTTTTGTACTATTCAGAATTTTCCAATATAAAATTACACTCGATAGTCAACTTGAGTACTACGTATGGCTGAAAAAGTCCAAGTGCCCTTTTCTGGATGCTATTAGCATTCTTGTTTCCTTTTATGCTACCAACGTTTTTTGTGGATGCTAATAAATGGATATTGTTATGAGATAAGCGCAAAAAAAATTTAGAAGTGGAGTGTGCTGAAAAAGTCCAAGTCTCCCTTTCTGGATACTATTTACGTTTTTGTTTCCTTTGATCTTAGCAAATTTTTTTGTGGTTGCTAATAAATGGATATTGTTGTGAGATAAGCTAGAAATGCAACATGCAAAAGGTATCATGTGAAGTGGTACCTACTGTTGAAAAAATCCATGCCTCCCCCGCTAGAGCTAAAGAGCAGTCTCTTCGCAAAAGAAGTAATATTTACGGTTGAAAAGTCGGGTTTTATACGATTGGAGTATGCTTTGAAACTGACACGGCCCTCTAAATGTGTGTGAGATTTTCAAAAATATATCAAGATCAGAGTTGTTATTCTTGGTTTAGCTAAAAAGTTATAATAATTAATTTGAATAAAAAGTTGTCTTGTTTTATAATTGAATCGTTCCATTCATAAAAAATCGTATTATTTCATTGTGAAGAACAATCTTGTTTTAATCAAAACGACAGGGTATTTATTCATACATGAGTAGTATAATTAAAATAAGATAAAGGTATTCATGTAAGACATTAAGTAAAAAGGAGTGACTACCATTCATTGAAAATGTAACACTTGAAATGGTGTGACTTTTCATTAAAAGACATCAATTAAATTAATGTGACTCTTTAGGATTAAACACAAAATGTATATGAATAGAAGTATTTTCTAATCACAGATACATTAAAAAAAAAAAAAAACTTAACTCTCACTTCATTCTCTCCCAAGGCATTTACAAATTCATTTGTCTTATATTTAATGCACAAGAGATATCAGACAAAATTATCACAGCTTAAGTTATGAAAGTGCAAAACATTTAAAGTTCTTCACTATATCCTAAAGGAAATTAGTTATCAAACTCATTTTGCATCCAAATTAAATTATTAATGGGACTGGGGGCGAATTAAGCCCAAAAGAAAGTGTATATTCATGCCTTGAAGACATAATCTATTTTTCTTTTTCTATCCTATTTCTAACAACTAAGAGTTCAATAGCATACTTAATCCAATTCTTATATGATTCCAGTCCTTTATCTTTGTGAGTCAAAAATCACTAGAATGTGGGAAGAAAGTTCAGTTACCTCTAAACTTACATTTGAGCCAACAATAGTCACTTTTATATTGAGTTAAAAAAGTTATGCTAAGTTTTATTATAAACTTACTTTAAATAGAAAATTTTGTAAATATACATTACTTCTAATTCAAACTCACTTTTAATTAAAATAAATTCAACAAAAACAAAATTAAGTTAATTCAAAACCAATTTTACAAATACCAACTAAGTACACCCAATCTAAATTAGAAATGTTTTTAGAACAATCTTAGGAAGACAAATTTATTTGTCCCCTCTACTTTTGAGGTGCCTTTGTTAAATGCAAACATAAAAAATAGTATATAGTATCACATATAGGTGTCAAATTTTTTAGTTCACATAACAAAACAGTTCTAACAAATAATTTCTAAAACACAAGTTAAATATCATCATATTATAATTTACTTGTCATTATATTCGTCATGTTGACATAACTGTTTATATGTCATTGTAATATAGGGGGTGGATTATCCAAGTCCTTAATATAGTATTTATAATTTCTTGCACAAGATATTTAAATTTTGGTTGCAATTACGTAGGTCGTACGGCAACGGACAATAGTTCATCCCAGCCCACTCCACAGCCAAGGTGGGTTGGCTATATATATTGACGTTTATCAATTAATTAATTGCATCCTAAATTCTCTTATTTCATATACTTCAAAAAAAAACAATATCATATTGATGCCATATTTTTTTCTTTTACATGGCTATGGTTTGGTTTCTATTGCCATATTTTTTTACGTTGCTTCTTCAATTCCCTTCCTACACTTTCTCATTATGCAAACATCATGATAGCTCTGCCTTGCTTCAATTCAAAAACTCACTTTCTCTCAACAATCAATCACAAGGGTATTGGTATTGGATTCCTAGTACCTCTTTTTCTTCCAAGACTGAAACTTGGATAAATGGTACAGATTGTTGTAAGTGGGGTGGGGTCACGTGCCATCCTATGTCGGGTCACGTGATTGGTCTAGACCTTAGCTGCTCTAATCTTGAAGGTGAATTCCATCCCAACAGCACCATCTTCAGGCTAAAGCACCTTCACAAACTCAACCTTGCTTATAATCTCTTTTATGGGTCTTCAGTATATGATGGATTTGGTGATCTTGTGAATCTCATGCATCTAAATTTATCATCCTCTTTTGTAGGTGGAGATATTCCCTCCACAATCTCTCACTTGTCAAAATTAGTGTCACTTGATCTCAGTGCTGATTGGAGAGTACCTAATTATCTTGGCTCCATGTACTTGAGAATGAGACTTGATCCACTCACATGGAACAAACTCATTCATAATGCAACAAGTTTAAGGGAGCTTTGTTTGGATGCTGTAGACATGTCTTCAATAGGATTGAGCTCTTTCTCATTGCTAAGGAACTTTTCATCCTCTTTGGTCACTCTTAGTCTTCAAGTAACCCAATTGCAAGGTAATTTGCCAAGTGACATATTCTTTTTACCCAACCTTCAAAAACTAAGTTTGTTTTATAATCAAGGCCTAAATGGTGAACTTCCAAAGTACAATTGGTCCACTCCCCTAAGGTACTTGGATCTCTCTTACACCACTTTTTCAGGAGAAATTCCTGATTCCATAGGGCACTTGAAGCCTCTTAACATCCTAAATCTCATGTTATGCCAATTTGATGGACCGATTCCTCTATCTTTGTGGAACCTAACTCAACTAAGATTTCTAATCCTCAGACGTAACAACCTTAACGGTGAGATCCCATCATTAATTTCAAACCTTAAACATCTCACTTTCTTTGATCTTTCATATAATAATTTTAGTGGTAGCATCCCAGACGTGTTTGGCAACTTCACCAAATTAGAAAATCTGACTTTTTCCAATAACAAACTAAGTGGTCTAATTCCATCATCATTGTTTCATCTACCTCAACTTGCTGATTTAATTTTAGATTCTAATAACTTAGTAGGCCCGATTCCAAGTAAAATCACTGAACGTTCAAAGTTAAGAGCAGTATCTTTGTTTGATAACATGGTAAATGGAACCATCCCGAATTGGTGTTATTCTTTGCCTTCGTTGTCAACCTTGATTCTTGATAACAACCAGCTCACAGGGTCAATCAGTGGATTTTCAAATTCTTCATTGGAAATTTTGTATCTCTCTCGTAACAAACTTCAAGGGAATTTTCCAAATTCAATATTTGAACTCAAAAGTCTTACTCAACTATCTTTGTCATCAACTGACTTGAGTGGTGTAGTGAACTTCCACCAATTTTCAAAGCTTAAAAATCTAGAAGCGCTCGATCTTTCAAGAAACGGTTTTCTGAATATCAGCATCGATGACAGTATTGACTACAGCATACCCACACTTGACAGATTATATTTATCTTTCTGTAATATTAATAGATTTCCTCAATTCTTAGCACAGCTTCCAAATCTGAAAACAATAGATCTTTCTCATAACAAAATTCATGGAAACATTCCCAAATGGTTTCATGAGAAGCTCTTGCACTCGTGGAAGAACATTCTGTATATTGATCTCAGTTTCAACCAGTTGCAAGGAGATCTTCCGATCCTTCCCAATGTCACTCAATTCTTTTCAGTCTCGAATAACAACTTCACTGGAGACATTCCTTCAACAGTATGCCGTGTAAGCTTCCTCATTGTACTCAACTTGGCTCACAACAATTTAACAGGCTTGATTCCAGAATGCCTAGGAACACTTGGCTTTCTCAAGGTATTGGATTTGCAAATGAACAACTTTTATGGAAGAATACCCAGAAACTTTTGTGAAGGAAATGCGTTGGAGACTATAAAATTGAATGGCAACCAATTGGAAGGAACATTTCCAGAGTCTTTGGTGCACTGCACATATCTTGAAGTTTTGGACCTTGCAGACAATTACATAGAGGATACATTTCCCAGTTGGCTAGAAACTCAGCAAGAGTTACAGGTTCTCAGTTTACGATCAAATAAACTTCATGGTGTAATTGCTAGTTTAAATGCCAAGAATCCATTTCCCAAGTTGAAGATTTTTGATGTCTCCAATAACAATTTTAGTGGCCCCTTGCCAGCTTCATACATCAAGAACTTTCAGGGAATGATGATTGGGAATGAAGGCCAAACTGGTTTGAAATATGTGAGTCACAACGGTTCATATAACTATAATGAATCTGTAGTGATCATCATGAAAGGTCAAACTGAAGAGCTAGTGAGGATATTAACTACTTTCACAGCTATTGATTTGTCAAAGAACATGTTTGAAGGAGAAATTCCAAAAGTCGTTGGAGATTTAACATCTCTTAAAGGACTTAATCTTTCGCACAACAGAATCACTGGTACCGTTCCACAATCCTTGGGTAATTTAAGAAATTTGGAATGGTTGGACCTCTCATGGAACCAGTTGATAGGAGAGATTCCTATAGCTTTGACAAATTTGAATTTTCTCTCATTTTTGAACCTTTCACAGAACCAGTTTGAGGGAATCATACCAACAGGTAGACAGTTTAATACATTTGAAAATGATTCCTATGGAGGAAATCCAATGCTATGCGGAATTCCTTTGTCAAAATCCTGCAATAATGATGAAAAATTGCCACCACATTCAACTTTTGACCATCAAGAATCAGGATTTGGCTGGAAACCCGTGGTAATGGGATATGCAAGTGGTGTAGTATTTGGACTGCTCTTGGGATATAAGGTATTCTTGACTGGGAAACCACAATGCCTTGCGAGATATGCTGAAGGTGTGACTAATCGAAGAGTGCAAAGGAAAAACGACAACAGAGCCCGTGCAAATCGTAGAGGAATAAGTTAGGTCAATATGGTTCCTTTTTAAGTGTGTATTTATGTATTAGTGTATGTGTGTGATTTTTCTGTAATTTTAACTTCTGTGTTTGTGGAATGAAATATCATCTCTCAATAGGAGCAATATCAACAGAGTACATATAATTAGTCATCAACTGCTTTCGTTTTAAGTTAAAGTTATGTGCTGTAAATTGTCACTACTCACGCGTTCAACCTTTAATCATCATTTTATTAGAAATTGATAAACATTTTGGCAAATGCACCAAATCGTTGAAGTAACAAAATAGATTTATCGTTCATAGAAATTAATGTTAAGTACCAAACTACAAGAATATTACTAATTGAGTCAAGAACAAAGTTGTAATATAAACTGGAAAATTAAATAAAATGTAAAATATAAAAATGCAATGCTGGAAAGCTATAATTAACTATGGAAATGAAAATTTCAGAAGTAAGGAACTAAATACTAATGAAACAAAACTGCAGTATATGACTAAAGAAGTTAATGAACTGAGTTGTAAATCTATTAAAAAGATAGGTTGAGTTCAGAATTCCTTATCTTTTTTTCTTTGCATAAAATATATATATAACCCAAAATATAACTTAATCTAATGGTCAAGTTTTTAAAATATCTAACCCCAATTCTTTAGTTAATTTGTTCTAAAACATATTTAACTTCCTAATCCCTTAGATAAAACAAAAAATGTCTAACATTAAGATTAAAACCTAAATGACCACATCATTATAAATTTCTATTCCTAAATAATTTATAATAAGCATTTTGGTTCCAGTTCAAGAAAGATCACAACTTTTCGACAATGAACACCTTTTTATCAACGTAAAATAGAGAGACATTAAATTCAGAATCAAAATATTAGATTGAAACTTATATCTTGAGTTACATTCAATGCTTAGTTTATTGTAATAGGTAAAAGAATAAGTTCATCATTCTTCAACCTCAAGATATTTAGCAAGACATAATGGAAATAAAGAAAATAAAACTGAAATATATTGCAGAAAATAAAATCATATTCAACAGAAAAAGCTTACAGCAGAAAATAAAATGTAAGAAACTATTGTTCCATTACAAAATAAGAAAAAAGAAGGGATGCAACCCAACTTCTCATCAAAATCCTATAGTAAAGAAGAAGAATGTCCTAGCTGACATTCTCACAAAAAAATGTACGAAAACCTAAAATTATGTGCTCTGGAATCATAAAAGACAAAAAAATAAAGATATCATCTTTTTTAGAAAATTCTGCTTTTATATACTCTGTTAGCACTATGTCTCCACAATCAAAAGTCCATGTCACCACAAGTGTGTCATGCAGCAACTCAACTTCTGTTCTTTAAGTTCAATTGTTAATTTCCTTCTAATTCAAATAATAGCCGTCACAATAATGATTCATCAATAATTTTCAGCATTCACACATTCTATTGAATATTTCAATTAATTGTACAAATTTAAAGATTTAATTCATTGAAATATGCCAAAAGCCTTTAATTTTCTGAGTCAATGACTCATCAAGAATGCCACTGAGAAAAGAAGCAGGGGACCAATCATTTCAGGATTTGTAGAGTTTACTGCCGACACTGATTCAGCAAGTCTCCCTTATCATGTATGGAATAAATAGATATTTTCTTTGTTTTAGCCACTAAAAAAGCATGTCTTCAGCAACATGCTACTCTTTTTGAAGGTGGAACACTTTAACAGCGAACTAAGGAGAATTTGCATACAAACAAAGGAACTCGAGTTCAAAATTTCTTCAACTGTATCTGTACCGGAAAAAAGATATTGAAGTTGACTTAGTTTATCCTGATATAGCCTCAAAAAACACTAATCAGCATGTTTTCATGTCACAAGAATTTGGGACATCACTATTTGGTGCAATGTATGAAGGGAAGTTTGTGTATCACAAATTTTTCATAGACTATGGCATGAGGGGGGAAATATGTGCAACGAATTGCACTGTTGAGGAAACATTAGATGCAGATAGTGTAACCCAAAATAAAATGAAAGAATCAGTTACAGATGAGGGAGATGTTTGTGCTTTCATTTCTAGACATCCTCTCATGTCTCCTAAAAAGCATCAACGTGAGTGGTCTTCCCTTGATATTGGCTCAAAGACTTTGATTCTTAGGTGCAAAAATTAAAAACTTAGTAGCCAGCATTTACAGCATTGGTGATGAATATATGGCAATTGTATAACCAAGTGCAATACAGCATTAATGATTCAGGATTATTTCATCCAAAAATTTAGTGAGCAAGCATCATCTTCCATGTCAACTCAGGAAATGAATAATTAATAATGTAGGAATTGCAAGCCCTTTACATACATACTAGGTCTTTCCACTACATGAAAGCTTATTGTAGATCGAATAATATGTGGTATGTCAGCAACTTAAAGAGATTCTGATTTATACAATTCTTCATAATTACACATCTATACAATTTAAGAAGATTTAAGAGATTCTGATTTATTATATTCACGTTTCATTGGTATATGGTTTGTAGCAGGTATCTTTATAGGAATTTTACCATGAATTAATCGGTTCATCCTGGGTAACAAACTTATATTTATGATTTTCTTTTCTGAAATAAACTCCTTCAAGAAAAATTGTTATTGGTTGCATTAATTTGAAAAAAGAAATCTTACAAACTTAAAACACTGGCACTGTTCTTGAAATTTAGTGAGAGAAGTGAAAGATATGATGAGTGATTTGATATATGATAAGAAGGGAAAAATATAAGGTAAAAGAGAAGTGAAAGTCCAGTAGATACATGTAAAAATCAGAACTCTATGAAAAAACAATAGTAACACTGCACTCTTTTCTAACATTTTTTATTACTGGATAAATTTCATGTGAACTCGACGAAAATTTAGGTGATGGCATTAAAAGATTTGTCAAAAGTACTCTGCTATCATTTCACAACTGCCAATAATTCAAGTTTCTGGCGTGAAATAATATGAATATGAATAGTAACTACAACTCCAAATAAATCATTAGTGGTCCTAATGAAAGGTATATGGAGCTAGTGAGGATATTAATTACCTTCACGACAATTGACTTTTTTAAAGAACTGTTGACTTATTACATAGCATGTTTTGCTAATTTTTCTTAAGGTGATGTTTTAACAGTAATACAACAAGATTTGCACAAAAATTAAGTGTGCATGAGATAATGTTGCAAAAATGGAAGAAAATAGAATGAGATTAATAACCTGGGAGGTGTGATAACATTGTTCTCAATAATTTATTTGCAACACATAATAAAATTTTAGTAATGCAAATTTCTTTAATGAACAGTTGTGACAAAACTGGTAGAAATAAAATTTTGTTAAACAAATCTGAGTGAGGAGTCAAGGAAGAAGAGGTAAAAAAGGAAGAAAGTGGGAGAAAAGGTTAAAAGAAAGGATAAATGGAAAAAAAAGGATCGTACATAAAAAGGATAAAATAAATAGTAATTTATTGTGTTGACTAATTCATAAGATAAGTTTGACCAAGTAAAATAGTGGACTAATTAAGTTAAAATATCTCCCAAAAATAGGTTAAATCAAAGCAAAATCTTATCTAATGAATATTTTAAATAAAATTAAAATCAATTTCATTGAAGTTGACATAGTTGATCCTGATAATCTCGGAAAAGAATACTGATCAATGCCACATGGATTTGGGACGTCACAAATTGAAACAGTAGTTTAAGTAAAGTTTGTGTATTAATTTTTCGATTCACAATGATACATTTGAAAAAATCAGCTGGGAATTACTCCAGTGTGGTGGTAAAATTAGAATCAGAGAATAAACCCAAGAACAATTTGCATTTCTATAAATCGTCTCATATTTATTTTAAGTCTTTGACTCTTAGCTCTGAAGTTAAAAATTTTAAATTAGATCCAGGGGCTCAACAGTATTGATAATTTGATATGAATGGATTTAAGGGAATGATTGATTCATGACTAGGGATAATTTAACCAACAAGAGGTCATTAAACTTCATCATGATCTTAAATCAAAGTGATAATAGATACATAGAAAGTATCAATAGACGCTTTCTCAAATACCCTTTTTTCTTATGATGTGCTGTTTTAGACTCGATTAACATGTTACTGTAATAAAAAGGTTAGGACTAATTAAAAAATTATACTAGCTAAATAAGTTTAAGGTTACACACAAACATTACATGAGACTAAAAATGTCATTTTAGCAAGAATCAACTCTTCTTAAAAAGCTTAGATTTGTGGGTGAAAATTTATGAATGACTTTATTACATCTCTAACATTTTCCTGTCTCTGGTTTGTTGCCAAACTTTCAACACCACAACAAATTATCAACATGGCAAAGGCACTCAAATTATTGTGAATGCAAAAGAGTCGATGTTGTCAGATCACTCAAATTGCATGATGTGTGTTTCCTAGTGAGGTTGATATAGTGTGTTTTGCAACTCTAAATCATGGGTACCCCTTTATTGGTTACAAAACGAACAATTCAAGAGAAATTACAAGGATTGGTTAACACATTCATTCAGTTTCCTTGTCTCTTTGTCACGCCTCTCTTTTCTCATTTCCCTTTCCACATTCAATCATTTCTTCAACAATGATCAAGAACTTCCCAAACATGCACCAGTTTATGTGACTAAATTGGGCCTCTCTTGTCCCAACTGAGTGAAAGGCTGTCTCCCAACTGCTGTATAATCTCATATGAAACAGTTCCCTCAGAAACCAATAATTTCTTAACGTAAATCAAGTAGCATACTATTGGCATGTTCCATTTAAATATATTTAGAGTGGTGTTTATTTCAGCGTTACTAATTAGATCCATGTTAACGTATTTTCTAACGTGAATCCAAACACATGGTATAATGAACAGATAAAAAATTTACTACACTATCTGATAAAAAGGATAAGATCAAAGTGAATCTTCAGTGTTTTGTCACTAAAGATTTCAACTAAACTTACTGCATGACCATGAAAATATGGGTGTACAAGTATTTAATATATGATATTGAAAGTTTTGATTTGTTTAAAATAGTTGGTTACTAAATAATTTTTGTAATTTTTATATGATAAATATGTTTTTTAACAAACAAAACATACAATATTATTTTTTATACATTTCATACTAGTAAGTTTATCTACACGTTTTATTAGCATAGTAGTTTATGTAATTAATA